GCGAGCAGAGAGGAGCTGAGGGGGGCAGCGGCCGGGAGGGCTCCCCGGGCTGAGGGGACAGGAGTGAAGTCCGAGCCAGGCCCCAGAAGCGCAGGGGCTGGGGAGAGAGGTAGACAGAAAGGAGGCCTTGGGGTTCCAACTCCTGCCCCGAGGGGGCTGCGCGTCGGCTCTGTCCTCAGTCTTTCTGTGTGCAAAGTAGGGGCGCCCCTCGTCTGCCCCCAGTGGCTGCAGGGCAGCAGAGGCCTGAGCAGGGATGTGACAGGGGAGCAGTCAAGGATCCGCTTGGGCTGAGGCCCCCAAGTGTAGTCTGATCCGATCCGCTCCAAGCCTCCATCCCCCGTTTCCCGGTGCCGGCAAGGCCCAGCCTCTCCCTCATGGGCCCCTTCCTCTCCCTCTTCCGTCCAGGGTCGGCTGGTACAAACCAGGAAGTCAGGGTTCTTTCCAAGTTCATCTGTGAAGCCCTGCCCCGTGGACGGAAGGGTGAGTGCTGGCCCACAGAAGCGCCTGAATGGGCGTGGCTTGCTGGTGTGGGTGCTGGAGCTGTGGAGGGTAGGGTGCCCCTGGGTCTGCGAGCAGCCTACACGTGGCATCTTGGCAGCCACGCAGACCATCCCCTCTGACCTCACACAGCCGCTTACCCAGGAGGCAGAGGAGGACATAGGACGGGCCGAGCTGGGCCTTGCAGCCCTGAGAAGCAAAGCATTGTGGGCCTCTGTTGGAGGGTCAGCCGGTGGCCTCCCACACCCCCAGAAAGTAGCAAAGGCAGTGGGTGAAGGTGAGCCTGCGAGACACCCCTGAGGGTGCAGGCAGCCAGGCACCTCACACAGACAGCTGCCCGGTAGGTGCCCCCCTCGGGCACTCGTGGGTGGGTCCCAGCCTCCGCCCCGGGGGCGTGGAGGACCAGTGGAGCCTGGCTACCAATCGGTCCTGGTCTCCTGCAGTCACAGCCCCTCAGCCCCCCGGCCCCCTTACTTGGGGGGGCCTCCTGGGGACACTGACCTGGCCACTCTCTCCCCTAGCCGCCCATCAGCCGGCCACCCTCCCGGGAGATCGACTACTCTGCCTACCCCTGGTGAGACTCGGGCTGGGGGCGGGTGGGGAGGGGGCACAGGCCCGGCCTTCAGCTGCCACGTGGCTGGGGCTCCTCTCTGCTCCCAGCCCCATGCCCGCTCCCTCTGCTGAGGGTCACCCTCCCTCACCTAAAACAGACTTGGAAGATGCTCCCCCTCCCATGCAGGGTAGCACTGGGCTTCCGAGACACAGCTCTTCCAGCCCCCTGGCCATTGTGTGTGTGTGTGTGTGTGTGTGTGTGTGGGTGGGTGGGTGGGTGTGTGTGTACCGAGGTCAGACTAGGGTCCCCTGGACTCTCACAGTGGCTCTTTCAGAAGGAGGCTCCTTCTGGTGGCCTTGAACCGCCATCCTCTCAGCGATGGCTGTGCACGTTAACCCTGCACCTCCCAGAGGTGGTGATGTTCTTCCTGCTTCTTGCTCATGGGCAGTCTCTTCTAGAGAGAACCTGGTCCCCCGTGCAGGCCCCAGGGTTCCAGGAACAGACACCGCTCGCTGACCCTGGGTGTCCAGCCTGTGGAGTCACTACCCCTTGCGTGACCACTGGGGCCTGTGGCTGCTGCTGCCTGACTCCTTTGGGCACAGCCTGCCTCCCAGGGGGGTTGTGCCCACTTTCTACCTACCCGAAAGGACAAACTCTTAGCCCTGAGCCCAGCGCCTGGCCATCATGGCCGCCACATCCTCCCCAGCCTAACCCCTGGCCTCGCTCAGGTTCGCGGGCAGCATGGAGAGGCAGCAGACAGACAACCTACTCAAGGCCCATGCCAGTGGCACCTACCTGGTCCGGGAGCGGCCCGCTGAGGCCGAGCACTTTGCCATCAGCATCAAGTACGAGGCTGCCAGGGACCCCCTTCCCAGGGACCCCCCC